TATGTATGTAGCGTATTACTGTGAAAATTTTAAGCTAGAGGCGGTGTTACCATGCTTGATACATACAACAAACGCGGAAAGAACATGTAGCTAATTTGTAAAGAACGTACATCTATTTTGTAAAGAACATATATCAATTTTGTAAAGAACAACTAAATGTTATTACTTTTTATTTATCTAAAGAACATCTGTAATATTAACAAAGAACATCTTGTCAAAAAAAAATATTAATAAAGAACATGATAATATTTGTAATAAACATTATTTATATATACCCACCATAATTTACAACAAAATTCAAAGAACATTTCGCAATAAGCAACGAAATTTTTTTTTTCAAATAAAAGTATATTACACTTGCAATAAAAGAATATGTAAATATGTTCTTTTCACTCTTTTTTTGGTAAAAATATGTTCCTTTTACTTTAGGTATGTGTTCATTACAATTTAATAATATATTCTTTTCACTATAGATGTATGTTCTTTACATTTGTATAATATGTTCTTTCCGCGAGAAACGTATGTACAATACAGGCACCTATAGGAACCACGCGCTCGTATTACTGTACACAATTTTTTTTTTGGGGGGGGCTTGCATTAAGAAATCCGGGCTTCAAATTTGGGGCCCTTTGCATCAAAAAAAAAAAAATTGGGGCCCTAGGCGGTCGCCCCGACTGCCTTGGGTCAGATACGACCATGCCTACTCTCTCTTTCAAACTTCTTCTTCTTTTTCTCTGCTTATCCCTTTATTTTTTTCTTCCATAGCTGCCCGCAACCTTTTGCTAAAGGATCATCTCAACCAATAGTTTAAGCTAAACGCCGAAACCCATGATCGATTTATATCTCTATCACACCCCTCACATGGTTTGGGCTTGAAGTGTAGATGCGACATGAAACTTTTTATACCCAACACGAATATTCCACTTGAAAGTGAGGGTGGATGAGATTTGAGCTTGTGACTTGTATGTAATGTTGGCTCTAATACCATGTTAAGGGATCATCATGGTTAAAGCCCATGATCGATTTATATTCTATATCACTCCATATTCCCCCACACTTACTATAACCCCAAACTAATACTTTAGCAACTTAGGAAATATAACTAATAATACTCCTTAATGGAAATTCATACAAAAATTAGAAAATTGAGAGAGGGAGAATTAGTTTTAGTGAGGAGAGAGGGTGGTTATACAAAAAATTCAGAGTATATTATGCTTAATTGGGCTTGTATTTGCTACCGAGAGAGGATTTGTTTTTAAGTACCCTTATTATTTAATCAAAGTGGGCGATATTTATTAATTGCCCTTTTAATATTAAATTAAAGGGCAAAATTAATTTCACGCTCTTTGATTTGAAATAAGTGTGATATCTTACTTGCCCTCTTTGATAAGAAATTAATAAGGCAACTAAGATGAGCCCTAGTTGATAGTCCCGAGGGCGTTGGATAAGCTAGTTAAAAGTAGAAAGATTAAATTTTAACTTATCCTTCTTGATTAATATATGCCGCCCTCTTTGCTTAGTTTTCTTGAATTGAAACTCACATTAAGGTTATTGTTCGATTACTAATTACAGGGTATGCACCTTAGGAGAGAACTGGGCGTAGCTTCTAAAACAATACTCCGTAGGTCCCAATATAGAAAACCCAAAATTGTAAGGTTAATACGTAGAAAACCCCAATTGGTCAATACTAAATTAAGTAAATTCATAATTTTAACATTGTCACGAGACTTGTAATTTTGAAATCCACCTAGTAAATAGGTAACGAAGTAAGTGACAATTTAAAAATGGATTGAGGCAGAGTAGTAGGAGTAATAAATTTTCATGGCAATGTCCCTGTTCTAAGCCTTGACCATTGGTAACCCCAACTAACCCAACTACCTTCCATGAAAATGTACAAAGCGGTTAAATTGTGTCCTGTCAAAGTACGGTTCGTGATTAAAGGACTACTTGTACCAGGTGTTGGACCATCAAAGCATATACTCCCTCCGTTTCAAAAAGAATGACCCATTTGGCCAAAACTTTGTTCCAAAAAGAATGATCAATTTGCATTAAAACACCACCAATTTGCAACAATATTTGTGCAAAATTAGCTTCCCCATATAAAAATTTGATTTTCCATGTTATTTTATTACTTTCTCTCTCTATTTTTTTACAAACCCCATGTAAATTTATCTTTCCAATATACTTTTACTTCTTTTTACTTAACTTCCTTAATACCCGCGTAATCAACCCAAATGAGTCGTTCTTTTTAGGACAGAGGGAGTAATATAAGGTTAACCATACATTTTGAACCATATACTATACAATTAATTAATTAAATTATTATTACTAATTGATGATAATTGACATTTTCTTCACCACACTTTTTGACAAGTGGAGGTTTTAATGCTTACTTCAATGCTAATTTCTACCTTCCATTTTGACTCATAATTAAACATTACGTACAAATCGTATACATTTTATAAATAGAACCAAATTTTACAGGTGAGAGTGCATTACATTACAACATGACGTGCAACAATGTTATTTAGGACAAACATCATCCCAAAGACTTTTTACCATACCCCTCTATTTAAGGACGTCTCCACATGTCACGATAACATTTCTAACTCTTTCTCTTGTGACTTGTAGGTACATGTCATATACAACTCCGTATAGGTTACATCCCTAATTCCCTATCTTAATGGCCTAAATTAGAATTGACCTAACTTTTACCAATTCGAGTAAAAAATTGGTATGAAAATAATAATAATATTACCTCCGTTACATATTAGTTGCAACTTTGGGGTATTATTTGTGAGACATAAAATATTCCAAAGTTGCAAATAATATGTAACGGAGGTAGTAATAATAATAATAATAAACAAACAATAATGTAAACATGTATCAATGTAAACATAAAATGACTTAAAATCTTAGGTTATGTTTAGCTCACTTGATTTGAACTAAATTTTTTAATAAGATATAAACTTTTTATGATTTAATCTGATTATAAATATTTTTAGATTCAACTAAAATATGACCTTAATGTATATTAATTCTTTATATCATATCAGATGTCATTAAATTTATATTAATGTGAATTATCAAAATATATTTGTCACTATCAACTAAAGTTGTGGAGCTTTTAAGTAAGTATATATACTCATTCAATCCTTTTTGTTAATATTTGTTTATCTCTTGTTTAGAATTTTCAGAGAGTCCTATATACATATGTTAATGGTAAAGATATTAATAATAAAAAGTAGTATTGTAAAAGCATGTCATATTCATCTCAATTACTAGTTTTCAAATTATTTAACTTTGATAATTTATGTAAGGGTAATGCTATATGTACACTAAGGGATATATATATAAACATTAAATACACTCTTGAAAATTATAGAAAATTATAAATTTATGACAAAAATACGCATAAATCAGTATAATTAGTGTTTATAATTTTTTTATTTTTTTTTACGATTTTCAAGTGTAAATTTAATGCTTATATATAGCCCTAAGGGTTATGTATAACATTTTCCTTTTGTAATATTAACTTTTTTCTTAAAAAAAATAATGACGTTATATGAAGCTGGTATAAAAATTAATAAAAAAATTTCCGGTTACAATTACACAATATTCATCTCCTTGTTTAATTATAGACTAGAATACTGAATATTCCCACCAATTCCATCAATACGTAGTCCATGTCCAACATTACGTGGTGTAGCACATACAATAAAACAGAAATTCAAAGATTCCACCTTTATCTTTCCGTCTTTGAAAGGATGGCCTCACAATGTCCCATACATAATATTCCCTCTATTTTCGTTTATTATACTAATTTCACACTTGTAAATTCATTACTCCTTATTTCTATCACTATTACTTTATATATATTTAATTAACATTTAGTAAAAATAAAAGTGTAGAAAAAAAAAATTAAAGCAAATTTAATAAGATTTTACATCTATTCAAAATAATAATAATAATAATAATAAGATCTCACATGATTACAAATTAGGTCCTGTTCTTTTCACCTTAAAAAAAACGATCTTGCTAACGGGCTCCCGGGGGCGTTAGATAAGGATAAATTATATTGGTTGAAATGGTATTAAGTTAGGAATTCATGACACAATTACGCGTCGTTCGGTGTAATTAATGTTAATTTTACTCCAATATTTGCACTTTAATTCTCTTATCTAACGCCCCGGAGGTGCTCATTAGCTTTTGCCTAAAAAAAATAATATTAAGTACAAATAATTTCAGTTCAGTAAAAATAAGTTCAGTTCAGTAAAATTAATTTCAATTCAATAAAAATAATTTCAATTCAGTAAAAATAAATTCAGCTTAGTAAAATTCAGTTTTCTTAAAGAAGAATTATAATAGAAAATCAGTAAAAATAATTTAAGTTCAGTAAAAATAATTAAAGTTCAGTAAAATTAAGCTAAGTTCAGTTTAAATAAGTTCAGTTCAGTAAAAATAATTTCAATTCAGCAAAATTAAAGTGAATCAAAAATATATATTTTCTGATGAATAAAAATCAACAAAAGTAAATTATATAGAGTATGAATTATGTAAAAATCAACATTTTGAGAGTACATATCTTACAAAATTTCACACAATAATATACACTTTTCCCCGTTGTTTTTACTTTAGCTATTTCACAAATTAGGCCAAGTAAAAATAAACATTGGAAATATGCATTTCCTTAAATTACCAATAAAATAAAAAGTCAAGAAATCTAACAAATATTTAAATTTAACAAAAACAAGTACATAATTATATAACTATATAAGAAATTATTGAAAATTGTTTCTTTAAAAAAAAATTACCGTTGATAAAGAGAGCAAGCACAACAAGGAGTATTTCCTATATTCTTTTTTTTAGGAAAGTATTTCGTACTGAGTATATATATATATACAGAATAATTGAAAGATTATTATATACACCCGAATATACCGTACACAAATGAGTATTTGTTCTCATTTTGATGATTGCTATTCTTTCTTTCTTTTTTATTTTTTTTAAGGAAGGAAATGATTGTTATTCATTTTACCATTAAATGAAGAGTTAAAACTAACCTAAAGTTAGTTGGTTATACGGTACACCCGAATGTATATAACAAATTTTAGAATAATCAGGAGAATTTGACATGTATTCCAAAAAATAACAACCTAATAAAATAATTAATGATTGATGAAAGAATATGCAAAAGGCAAAAGAGATTAAGCTAAAGAACAAAGAACAAGAGATTAATAATCAAGTACTAATCATAATAACTAATTAATGTGATTAACATAACTTTCCTTGATAAATCCTCTCACAGGGCAACATACAACAAGCGCCAGCCACCGTGAGAAAGAAATTGTACAAAAACTAATTAAAATTTGCCCCCATAACAATTTCCCATCTAAATATACAAATTATCCCTCTAAATTAAAACCCATGAAAAACCAAAAATAATCTCCAAATGGGTTCCTAAACTCTTCATCATAATCAGTCAGAATAATAATAATAATAATAATAATAATAATAATAATAATAATAATAATAATAATAATAATAATAATAATAATAATAATAATTACCTCCCTCCTTAAATCTCCGAAAAAACGAACCAAAAACCGTTAATTATTTAGTAGTCCTAAAATGTGGCCGATGGAGATAGTAACAATAATTAACGCAACAGCATCGAAGTGAGAGACTCGAAAGCGTGCTCATCACAAGGGATTGTAAGACCCATCTCATGACAAAACCCAAATTCTTCTTCAGATTGATGAAGTAAGCTCTGAAATTCTGGCCTGCTTAACAATGAAATTGGAACAATGTATCTTGTTCTGTTGATTCCAACGTAAACTGCGAAATGACCTTTTGGTACATCTTCTGGGTACTCATTTTCTTGTTGGTAACCTTGTTTTTTGCCTAAGCTTGAACATCTCTTTAGTATTTGCTTCAATACTGCTGTTTGTGGCAATTTTGCTGATTTTTTGATTGCCATTTTAATCTTTGTTTATGATTTTTGAGTAATTTTTTTGTGGATTTTTTTTTTCTTGAATTTTCTAGAGTAGTATTGTGGAGGAAGAGAGAGAGAGAGAGAGAGAGAGAATGAGTGTGGTGAGGGTGAGTGTTGTGAAAAATGAGCAGGTTAGGAGGGGATTTTATAACGAGGAACAAACCAGAGAGAGACAGGAAACTTCTTCTTCAGAAAAAAAATATATATATATATATATTAAAAAATCGTAATACGGAGTAAAATAAATAAATAAAAAAAAAAAAAGAAAAAAAGAAAGGGTCAGTTTTTTAAAGGAACGATACCTCTTGGCTGTTGGCCTGTTGCTCGTCAATCCATTTCAGTTAAATTTAAAGGCGTGTGACACCGTGTGACTGTAGTTACTGGAGTTACTTGGTCAAGGATCTGTTCTGTTCAATTTATTTATATTTAGTTTAGCTTCAATAAATTCAATTTAGTTCAGTTTAGTTTAGCTCCAATAAATCCACTTTAGTTCAGTTCAATTTATATTTTAATTTCCTTATCTCATTAAATATTCAGTTCACTTCAATTTAGTTTAGTTCAGCTCCAATAAATTCAGTTCAGTTCAGTTCAGTCGATCAAAACAGGCCATTAAGTGTGTACTCGAGTTACTCCTAATCGAGTAACCCCTGACTGAGTAAGTCGAGTAACCCCTTATCAAACTCGAGTAACCCCTGAGTAATTTCTGATCGAGTAACTCGAGTAATTCCTGACCGATTAATCCTCAAGTAACTCCTTAACTAATCCATGACATATTAACTCCTGAGCGAACCCCTCAAGTGGTCTCAGACCAAGTAACCCCTGATGGAGTTACCTCATGAGTAACCTCCTATCGAATCCCTCAAGTACCCCATGACCGATTAACTTGAGTAACTCTGATCACATGGTGCCTTCAATTCTAATATTATGCCTTGTAGAGTTCAATTTATTTTTACTTATTTTTTTAAAAAATAAATATTTTAATAAAATACACATTATTTTGAATCTAACAAGACCGCACTTAATATATTTTTTCTTTAAAGCTTATCGTACACATACAGTCAAAATTTGGTCAACTCAGACAATCATATCATATCATATCATATTAGATCAGATCAGATAAGCAAAAATAAGGTATAATAAATAAAATCTTACTTTGTATCTCATACAAGAATAAGTAAGATTGTAGGAGGAAGTGGTCCCTCCATCCCTTCTAAGTGTGACCTGGGTTCAACTTGTCGTCCCCTCTCCTATTTCATATCTTACCACATATCAAGAGTTTAAATGCTTATCGTAAATTGTACTCCGTTCATTTTTACCATATACGAAGTATTAATAAGACATATACAATATAAATTGGTATTACTCGTAATATATAAATAAATATTAATATGTATGAGTAAGACATTTTTAAGTTCATCTCAAAACACATATTTCAACCAATTAATTTTTGTTATAAATTTATAAATCATTAATTGAACATAAAGTAAATAACCACTAGATCAAATATTATTGGATTAGAGTGAGGAGAAATAGAGAAAAAATGAAAGAGAAAGGCTAACTTGAGAAAGAAAACAGGAGCATGTGGGGTTGTGGGGGCAAAGGACAGACCACGGGTGGCTAAGTTGAGGTACTTTGATGGCATGAAAATTGCGGTTTTTATAATTTTTTTTTTAGTTCCTTAAGTTTTTCAGTCTCTCATTTGTTGTTGCTCTGCCTAAAGACAACATGGTCCCTCCTTTTAGCTATTTGGCCTGACTAGTTAGTAAGTTGTAACATCCTTGCCTTGGTTTTGTTCTTCCATCGTTATGACTTATGAGACTAAAGACATTAATTTACTTGCATTATAAATACTCATAATACTTCATCCGTTCTAATGTTACGTGGAAAAAATTGAAAAAATAATCTCATCTCTGTACAAGTTGTTTAAAACGACTTATCTTTTTATGTTTTAGGAACAAGTCAATTTTTACCCCTTATTTTCTCAAAACTGTCATTTGACTGAATTTGTTACATGCCACTTTCTAATTGGTCATAACATTTTTAATAATTTTAATAAAAAAACCATCCCCTCCTTATAGGCGTCATTCGAAGCGCGCCTACGTAAGCATGTTGTGATTCGTGAACATGTTTGACACTCTTAGGAAGTGGGAATTGACATACAATTAGGGACGCGATTAGGGACAAAGCAAATTAATGAGCTGCCAACAAGTTTTGTAAGGAACTTGAACCCGTTCATGGATCATTATAAGGCAACTACGATTATAGGAAAACAAAGGCAACAACTATTGACCCGTGAAAGGTACATCCCATTTATAATCCATGAAATTACTAACTCCATATGGTTCGAAGCCCCAAAAGGAGGATCGAGGATGATGGTATGAAGTGAGTCATGGAATCACATTCGCCCGTATTGGCTTATACTCGATTCTTATTGTGAAAAGTAATTCTTGCAATCTCAAAGGGATACAAACAAAGATTCAATTTGCTCCAAACTAATATAACGCTAAATTGGTTGAATGTTATGGAACATATAATTCTAAATATTATGACCACTTGATTAAACAACAAGATAAAAAAAAGAACCTAAATCGGTTGTCCAAATTATCTTATTAATCATAATTTTCAATTATATATTCCCTTTGAAAATGCAATATGGTGATCAATAACTGTAGTAGAATCAACCTTAATATTGGAAGCAATTTAACCATAATAACGATTTATTACATGACAAGCATAATAAAAATCATTAGAAATATATTAAGAATAAAAGGAACATGATTCCTTACTTTGATTGTGTTTGCTTACAACTATAAAACAATAAACACGTTAATAACTTCAAAGAATAATAAATCAAATTGAAATTAAATTAAATTAAAATAAAGTAGAGTTGATTTGGTCCAAACCCTCAATCGGTTCTACCTTTCACGCCTTGGTTTAAGTATGAAACTTCGCGTGTTGTATGGATCTCTTGGAGTGCTTAGGGAAGGAATACTGAAATACTAATAATAATTACAAGAATAGGTTCAAGGCTTAGAATATGAGTGAGAGAAATGAGAATATGTGTTGCTGCCTTGAAACTGTGAAATCAACCTCGTATTTATAAAGGAAATGTGAAGGGTGAGGTACGGAACCTTAGAACTAAGGTTCCTTAAAAGGGTTAATTGTATGGTGACATGGCAAAGCTGCCGTGGCACGGTGGGAATTGTTGTGACATGGTAAAATTACCATGGCACCGTATCTAATTCTATCAATTCTGGAAGTCAAAGCGCGTTAAAAGATAAAACCAGGTCAAACAAATTGCCGTGGCATGGCAATGTTTGTCGTGGCGCAGCAATTTTATCTTTTATTTCACATTAAATACGGGATAATTAAGCGTAGTTTTAGCATTCCAGACTTATTTCCATTTCCGGGTTTTAATATTAATTAATCAGGCTTAATTAATAAATGAAATGGATTAAAATAGTTTGGGATGAAATGAGGGTTGGACTATGCTAAAATGTGAACTGTGTTTGACTGAATATGGATTTTAAGCACTCCCGAGATTAAATACTCGACTAGACCAATAATGGCAGTGAAAAGCTGTTCATCATCGGGTTTGGTTTTGTGGACACATTTTTAGGTGTCTACACTCCCTTCCAATTCCCCTTCCCTAAACCTCGATCTCCCACCTGAACTAGACTCGCCACCGCGACACCATTCTTCTTCTTCTTCTTCTTCTTCTTCTTCTTCTTCTTCTTCTTCTTCTTCTTCTTCTTCTTCTTCTTCTTCTTCTTCTTCTTCTTCTTCTTCTTCTTATTATTATTATTATTATTATTATTATTATTATTATTATTATTATTATTATTATTATTATTATTATTATTATTATTATTATTATTATTATTATTATTATTATTATTATTATTATTCTACTTCTTCTTCTCTCTCTCTCTCTCTCTCTCTCTCTCCCCGACAATATTCTTTTAAACTCGGTTGCTTGGATGTTTTTGTGATGGCCTGGGTTGATTTTTATGTGTAAGTGTTGTTTATGGAGATGAATACAGTGGTTTTTAGATGGATAAAGTTATCTTTAGAGGTGGTGGGTGGAGTTATAGGTGGGTGGGGTGTGCAAGCTTTCAGGTGTGTGGGGTTAGTTTCAATTGGCTAGCCAGGGGTAGTGGGTGGGTTTTCATTGGGTGGGAGGTGCACAATAGGGATAAGGGTGGTATCGGTGGCGGGGGTTTAGGTTTTAGGGTGGTTTCAAGGGTAGGGATTATGGTTTAGGATGTTTTCAGGGTGGGGGACTATGGGCGTCAAATGAAGTGCGCCTAATTAAGCATGTGTAAATATGCTTGGAAATCATAGAAAGTGAGATTTGACATTATATGATTAGAGACAAAAAGTAGGAAGCCACCAACAAATTTTTTAAGGAACTTGTAAACCATTCATGAATCACTATAAGCAACCACAAAAGAAAACCAGCAAAGAAAGGTAACAGCGATTTGATCTATAAAGGCTACATTCCATTCATAACTCATGAGATTGCTAACTCCATATGGTAACAAAACATGAATGAATGATTGATCATAGATGATGGTACGCAGTTGAGTCATGGAAGCCACTTTTTCACGTATTAGCCTTTACTCGATTCTTATTGTGAAAAGTACTCTTTGTGATTCAATGGGCATACAAAAAATATTCTATTTTCTCCAAACTAATATCACGAAGTTGGTTGAATATTAATGCACATAAAATTCTAAATATTGTGGTCACTTATTAAGTCCATAAGATTAAAAGGGAAACAAAACCGGTTGTTCAAATTATCTTATTAGGCGTGAGTTACATTTACATAATCTTGATTAAGCATGCACAATGTTGAAACAAAATAAATAAAACAATACGACATAAATATTGGAAGTAACACCATAATATTAATCAAAATATGTATGCAAATCAATCCCATCATAATAACAACAAAATAAAAATAGAATAATAAGTAATTATATAAATTAATTATTCACATTGTGAGCGCTCCTTTAAATTGATACATCATGAATAAATTGTTAGTAACTTCAATAAAAATATGAATTAAATTATAATAAAAAAAAAATTTAGGTTTGTCCAAATTACTACCAAACTTTTACGCTTAGGTTGACTAGTAAAACTTCAAGTATTGCAAGGGACTTCGAATTGCTTAAAAACGATGAATATAATAGGTATAAAGTGATC